GAAGAGATCTCGCCAGTCTAGTATTTCGCTTAAATTCATACAGTCTAGGTACCATAGGGAAAAGCTCATCCGAACAATTACCATAAAAGTATTTATAAAAACGCACAAAGAAGCAAACTTTCGAATCCGAGCCGCCAGATCAGGACCAATAATATTGCTGATTCTTCTTTGGATATTATCAAGGCTCTCCAGGAAAATAGCAGGGCCACTGGACCATATATGACAGCAATATTCTAAGCATGAACGAATGGTAGACTTATAGATATGCAAGATAAATCCTGGAGAGAAAAATTGTCTCGCCCGACAGTGAACCGACTTTCTTAGCAGCTGATCTAGCAATAGATTCAATATAGTCTTTCCACCTCATGTCAGATGAGAACGTTAGCCCGAGAAGTCGCAATGAGTCACTTTCTTGGAGGATAGCATCAGCCATACTGATAGAAGACAGAGAGGGGTCTCTCAAATGATTAATGTAGAGAAATTTAGTTTTGGAGGCGTTAAAATTGACAAGCCACCTTTTGCTCCAGTTAACGACGGTCTTGAGGTCGTTTCGTACATCGGCTGCCATTTTGACATCTGACTGATCAGCCTTGCTATCGAGTCAGGAGTAAATGGTAATGTTTTTAGCGTAGATGCCAATTTGAGAGCTGATGCCATCGATGAGGTTGTTGATGAAAATTAAAAACTGCGTAAGACCAAGTATGGAGTCCTGGGAACACGCGCGTTAGTACGAAAGGGTGTAGACGGGTGACTGTTCAGGACAAATTTCACTTCACGTTTTGATAGGAACGACGGGATCAGCTCAAAAATGTTCCCGGGGATACCCTAGCTTTTCAGCTTGTGGAAAACACTTGAATGCCAGGCAGTTTTAAAGGTTTTCGGGGTGTCCAATGCTTCACTATTTTTATCTGGAGCATGATAGACTCTTTCCGCAATTATCGTTAGTACATCAGCAGTTGATCTGGAGAAACGAAAGCCATATTGCTTGTCAGAGAAAAGGCCCTGTGATGAAAGATGACGAACTAATTCAACATTGATTTGGGCCTCTAGGACTTTCCAAAAAAGGCAGAAGGCTAATAGGCCGATAGGTTTGATGGTACCGGGATGCCATCGGGTCCACATGCTTTGTGGAGATCAAGGTTAGAGATCATAGCAGAAACCATAGAAAAGATTTAAATGCATATCACTCAGCAGAGAATCAGTTCTAAATGGGAAATTAGGCAGGGATACTCCAGATGCATCAAGAGCAGAGTTTGAGGAGAAATTAAGGACAAAGTATTCAGCTTCATCAGCAGATTGATGAGTGTGTGGAGGGAATAGAGATCTTGCACCTATTCAGTACCCTATTACAGAGACACCAGCAGTTACGAGAGCCAAAGTTTTTAGAGACTATGCGGTGCCTCATTCTCTCAGAAAACAGGGTCTTAGTTTCTTCGAGGACTCGCTTACATTTGTTACGAGCAGTAGCAAATAAGCACCTGTTATGATGAGAGCTGTCATGCTGGTATAGCCGGAAAAGCCGAGGAAGCTGGCGTGAACCATGGAGGGGATTGCAGTTTCACCTGATATTTTCGAGAAGGGATGAAAGTGTCCATGCTGGCTTTGACACAAGAAGAAAATTCAGTGGCACGATTTTCAGTTGGGAGATTGAAGATGTCACGAAGAAAATCCCAGAATGAATCCCAATCAGCGTGATGGTAACGGAAAGAGGTCTTATGGATAGGGGGTTCCTGTTTAATGGATGCTTGGAAAGTGTTATGGGGTCCTCCCCTTTTCTTATAAGTGGACTCTACCAGTGTTACTTGGAGTGCTGCCGTTAAATACCCAGAGTTAGACAGTCAGTGAGAGAGGATATACGGAGAGAGAGAGAGAGAATATACGAACGGAGATAGAGTGAGGTAACCTCTTGTAGAAGTCAGTTACAAGCACGTAGACTCTAAGGAAGTCCTACTTCGAGACTGTATATATCTATCTGTATTTGCTAATAACCTCGTTCCTGGATTTACTAACAGTATTACTCTTTGTATGATTGTGTAAATACATTTTATTTCTTATATTTAATTATTGCGTTTGTCATTCCTTGGAGACCGAATTCATCTCGGAATCTACAACAGAAAGATATATCAATATTTATCACAGGGTGGTCCGAATTATCAAGAGCAAGAGAGAGGAGGCAAGAAATAGATCCAACAGGGAAGCATATTGCTTGGTTTGGCTAGGGAAACGAGTAGTTCAAGATTTGTGTGAGAGATTGGACAATGGAAAAATTTAATGTCTGTATACCGTCAACATCAGTACTTTTAGAATGTTTCAGCCACTTGTCGTGGTGAGTATTAAAGTCACCGAAGACAAAGATGTTCGCAGATGGATAGAGAGAAAGTGACTTTTCTATACTGTCGACTATTGGGGAGAAGGGGCGATAAAGGAAAAAGTGACAGCTGACAGAATTAGTAGCGAAAGATGAAAACACATGAAAGAATAGTCAGTGGTCTCGAGAGACAATTCCCTGGCCATTGGAAGATTATTCAGGATGTAAAAACCAAGGCCATGCATATGAAAGCTGGAATCTTATCGGCAAAGGGAAAGATATCCTGGAACCAAGAATTCATTGGTAGCAATGGAAGAATTCAAGTTGTTTTCACAGAGGGCAAAGATATCTGACGACTTTTCCAAGAGAAAAGATACCACAAATATTGGAGAAGGAAAAATTGAGAGGAGTAGGTGGTTTTTGTTAGCTGGTTTAGTTTTATTTCTTTATCTTGTGATTTCCATGAGATGTTTTGAGGAGAGAGAAAAAACAGAGAAGGCCACCTTAATTGTCACTATCTGTCGTCACTGACAATACAAACCAGCCAGTACGTAGCTGAGTGAGAGAGAGAGAGAGAGAGAGAGAGAGAGAGAGAGAGAGAGAGAGAGCATAATGTGGCCTCAGAGTTGCCCACCGGAAATGTATGCAAGAACATCTACCCATACGCGACATGGCACTACAAATACCCCGACTGTTGATCGGAGCAGCCTCTCTAAGCACTACCAAAGAGTTCGGGATCCTAATGACCATTCGAAAGCAGCAGCCAGCAAACTGCCAACTCGGTACCCTAATAATGGAAAGTCACAGCCATTGGTTAGTCTGATCAAAGAGTTAAAACGGTTAAATCATTGTGGCTCTGGTAAGAGAACGAAAGAGAACCGATAAACCATATACTGAATACGGAACAAGGGATAGACCTATACTCCTGTTCAATAGTCATGGAAGGAGTGTGGACCGGACGATAGGACTGATGCCTACTACCAACTAAAAAATCGGGATGGTAAAACAATTTTTCAGCATTGATATATAATAGTGGGTAAGTACACACGCACGCACACGCACGCGCACACACATACATATATATGTACACATTTAAACGTGCTGAGGCAAGTAATTTAAAATGAAGAAAAATATTAAAATAAGAAAATTAAAACAATGAAGGAAGAAAAAGAAAAAAATTAGAATAACATTTTGATATAGGATGGCAAAGAAAAGTAAAAAAAAAAAACAATAAAATAAAAAGTATTCATTTCGACGAAACCAATATATAGTTAAGATTCAACCAGTACTGGTTGGCTGTAAGGTGAAAATCAGATCAAGAAAGATTTGGTGACGCCAACATTCCAAATAGGAATGAGTATATTTAACTGAAGTTGTACTTGTCTTGGGATACTGGCATGATGGGATGCTTGCTTCGGCAATTAGTTGGAGATTTGTCTCCAGCTGTGCTTATCGAACTCTCTGCCTTCGGGCAGAGAGGAACCCAGACAAGGCTATGCCGAAGAGCAGAGTCTCGTCTGGAGTGGTAGACCCGACCCTGTTCATACGGGGTCTACGCGGAATTTTTGCCCGAGACTATGGGCTCGGTTTTACCCCGCATTAAAAAGGCCTTGTGCCACATCCTGCCTCACGGGGTGGTAAGGTAAATATCCTGGCATGATGAGATAGAGGCATGATGACAATGCCAAATTCGAACCTTCCACATCATTTTTTAACCGGTTTTACATTTCTACATTTTTTAATATTTGTGGCACATGTCCACATTGTTGACAAAACGCCAAGCCAAAAATTTCCTAGCCAGTTTACCACTCATGATAGACACCCATTAAAATGTAATATTAGAATTAATACTAAATTAATGTACAAACAAGCATTTTATGCAGACATGTCATATATATATATATATATATATATATATATATATATATATATATATATATATATATATATATATATAAGTATGGATGGTTCTGCACAAATCCTTCACCACTATAATCAAATCTCACATGCTTGTCTCGGGCTGTCTGTTCCTAGGAACTGATCTGCTTGACTCTCATACGTCGAATTCGACGAGAGAGTCGAGTATATATATATACACACGTATACACGTGCTGAGGCAAGTAATAAGAAAAAATTAAAACAATGAAGGAATAAAAATAAAAATATAGAATAATATTCCAATGTCTTTCTTGTCTGTTACTTTGTCATTGTTATGTAGATACTAACTTTATCAAAAGTTTGACCTTAGATCATATTCATTTGTCACTAAATATGTAGAGCTTTTCCAATCCTTATAGAACCATGGCGTCCGGGAATATTAATGTCTATCAATCGCGTTAATGCATTTTTTCATGGTGGGTCATCTGAAATAATGAAAATATTATTCATGATGTAGTAACACAGAAATTGCTCGTAAGAGCATTTATATTTAGAATCTGTTGCTACGGGGTATTAGTAAGAGATTCAACTTAACAGATGTAATTATAAATAATGCGAATCAATGGAAATGTTTTAGTAAAATCAGCCTACGTTGGCAGATATAGGACAGGGCGGTGAAAAGTTCTCGGCTCGACTCAAAAGATTTCAAAATTTCGATTTTTGCAATTGGGACATCTCAAGAACTTTTTTCAGCACCCGCCTCTTATGAAAATATTTGTATTGGAATATATTTATATATCCATACTTAAGTTGATGAAAAACGCCGGTCTTCGTTCGATTACCGAAGTAAAGCAGCGTCGAGTCCTGTCGGTACTTGGATGGGGGACCACTTAGAAACACCAGGTGCTGCGATCTTCTACAATCCAAATATATGTCTCGGCTTTATATAACACACAAAGGGTTGATAAGCCGTAAAGAACAAATCAATCCGCACTAGCGATCATTGTAAATAATTCATATTGAAGTATACTAGGAGGTGCTGAAAATTTAGGCTTGACCAAGAAGCTACCCTCTACCCTAGTAAAAATAAAAAAAGTTTGGTCATTTGATCATGGTTTAGAAAATGGGTCGAACCGAGAAATTTTCATTAGAACCCTCGGGCTAAAATTATATTTTCTATTATATGATTAAAATAAATTATCATCAGCAAAAGTCTATATATTATTACTCTAGTAACTATTGGGTTGGGGACAAAGTTCCCGCACAATTTTCAATAAAAATATATATAAAGTTGTGCGGGAACTTTGTTTCCAACTTAATGCCTACATTCGTATGTAAGCTGTGCGTTACGCTCCAAAAGAAAAAATATCAAAGTTTCACCCATTTTTCAATAGATCAATGGGGTAAAGGAGTAATAAAATTCTAGACACCAAGCCTGTCTTTTATTTTTCTTTCATCACCATCCTCTTTTCTTTCGCTCACTTTTCTTTTTCGTATATCTCCAACTTTATTACTTTCTCATCGAATTTTGCTGGTACACATTATTCTGTTTCAATGTACATTCTTCAGTAAATATTCCTAGTATGAACTGGAGGACTTTATTGGTAGTTCTTCTCAAACATTCTACATAATAATAGGACCGATTTTAAGTGTGAATTAAGTTTAAGCGTCTAATGATTTTTCTTTTTCTTTCAGATTTAACAACTTAAGTCTTTTGTAATTACAACCATGGAAAGGTTAACAATCAAATAACGTGTTAAAGTTATCGAAGCCTATTACAAAAATGGACGTTCAAACAAAAATGCATTTCGCGCACATCGCGACTTTTTTGGACAACGTAATCGATCAATCCTGATTAGAATGTCAACTAGCAGGCTTCCTGGCAGATAAGGTGGGGTAACCCCCATAGTATAATTTTCGAGCTATGCCCTTAATATATGGTTGATTAAGATTAACAGAGACGCGTTGGGTTAAATGCATGGACAAGAAATAGATGATTTTGAGGAATTATTCTCTGTTTCTAAAATAAAGTCTTTGTTTTTTAATTTTTTCAGCTATGGCTTATTTATCTCACATTGGTCACATCGTTGTAAGATAATGGCTAATAAACTCGTCTCAAAGATCATTAATACTGATTAGCGAATTAGATCCTTACGAATGACATGTACTTATGGCTTTGTATTAACACTAAATTTATCTTCAATTTTAGTTTTAGTTGGAGCATTATAAGTTATTGATTACTGACTGGTATTTCTTTCAACTGGATTTCAGTTACTTTTTACTAATTGTTTCTGATCCGTGCTTTTACTAACGTCCGTAGAATGCGATAAAAACGAACTTAAATTAAGATGGGATAAATACTAGTTAAAAATTATTAAGCTATGTTTAGAAGCCAACTAGGTTATCTCAATGTGAGGTAATGATTAGCGAGTTGACCACTAGTAGTTAGTTCGAATCTCACAGACTGTCCCATAGTTTTTGTCTTCACCAAAACTAAAATAAGAAAAGGTTAGTAAGTATCTATAAATATCTTATTCGTACAATATTATAAATGTATACAGATTTCTATCCACTATCTTATGAAACCTTTCGTAACACAAGCCTCACTTCCATTGTTGTTCCAGGGTCTCAACATTATCTGTGTCTTTTCTATAAATACTTTCATGGTAATTGTTCAGATGAGCTCTTCGCTATATTGGAGCTAGTTTTTAAATTGCTGTTTTATTCCCCTCCCCCGACAGACACTGAATTGTACATATGGGGACTAGTTAGGATTTTCATATAAACAATGAGGTGTTATGATGGATGGATTAAGAAAGGTAAGTAAGAATGTGTTGTTTTGGTGTTAAGAATATTGTGGTGTGTTTGAGTCAGTGTTTGTGGCTAAAAGTTAAGACAGAAGAAGACCGCCCTTTTCCCCATTCTCTACTTTGGCCTCGTGCCACATTTTGTAAATATTACAAATAAATATCGCTCTTCGCTATAGTACCTAGGCTTTCTGAATTTAAGCGTAATACTAGACTGGCGTCTAGTTGAGCTGGCTAGATGTAGCCGTAAGTTCTATGCTAACAGTTTCTTTTTTCGCGCTTTTCGCTTGTAGAAATCTCTTCCGTCTCCATGCTTTCCAGCCAACTTTAATCTGAAAAAAAAAATAAATGCAATGTCAATCGCTATCTACTGTCCTCCTGATTACTCTTTCCTCTTCCCGCTCATTATTAATGTTTCTGTTCCAAATTCTCCAACACCCTGTAATCCCTCGTGTCTTAGTGGCTTTACTGCTTTGCATTGGGTGATTCCGATTAAAAAAATCTTTGGTACGAGCGACTTTGTTTTAATGTTGTTTTGTGATGACGTACTCCTCACGTCCATCACTGCACAACTATGATGACATCCAAGGTCGGTTGCATGCGTATATACACCCGGCTAGCTATGTTCACAGGTTGGTTTACTTGGCTGTGATTGAATTCAACAAAGAATAAGGACAAATTTTTTTCAAGACACTGGTTGGGAAATAGCAATAATACGATTTCTTGCTAAGCCGACGTCGACGAGGTGGACTGCTGTCTTACTAACTTCTGGCCACACACAAAGGACCCTCACATTCACTGCCCGATCTCGGCGGCTACTGACTCACCCGGCTGCTGGTCCTTTCCTCGTCTCTGGCTGTCGGTCTCTTCCTCACCGATTGCTACTGACTGACTACACCTATCCGTCCATGTGTTCAGGAAAAGGAGATCACCCAAAAGCGAGATGAGTGGTCAATTTTTCAAAGGTCTACTTTTATGATTATCTAAAATCATTAACAAAATTTTATGTTTGCCAATTCAAATGCAGGCTGGAGACAGGGTTCCTGGAAACACTGGTCATTAAGTTGACTCAGGGGTGGACAATTCTTAAGAAACTCTGATAATTAAATTGACTTAAAATGGAAAAAGAATCTATCTACTTATCTCCTAAGGATGTATAAGAAATCGTATTGTTACACCTTCATATATGTATTTATTACCCACAACCCACCGGAGTGTCATTATAACCCAAAGTCCCACACGAATGCATGGTAAAGCTCTGTCTATGAAAAAGATGACCCCCCCCAAAAAAAAAACAACAACAACAGTAAACGTTCCAAGAGGAAAACGAAATAAGACAAAAAATAAAAAAAAATTTTTTTTTTTTTTTAAATGTGGTTCTGGTATGCCATGATCTTATAAGCAATCAATTATAGTATCACACTCCCAATAATCCTCATAGAAAAGAAATTAAAAAACGACCCACCGGTGAGCCGTGTGGGTCTTGCAGACATACCACACGACTTTCTGGTGGGTCATGTGAGAACCAAGGCGTTAAGCCGAAATGACGTAAATGAAATATTAACTGCTATTAATGTTGTGCAAAACATCTAAGAATTGCTATACATCAAAATAAACTTGCGCAAGATAATCCCTTCGACTCACAATTTCGTTCTAACCACAGAAAAGTATTGCCTTTAATTTTAAAAGGGTATATAAGTTTAGTTCAAGTTTTCAGAATGCTTTTCAGTTTCCTCATCCGACTCTGCTTTTCAAAAGTTTATGCTACGCCTCTTTTGCAGAGGTGGTACGCTCACTCAAAATTGTAGGCCCACATCAACTGATCCACTAATCTCCCTTCTGTTCTGACATCTGATGAATCGGCATGAGCGGCGGCTAGGTGTTCGAATAGAATACATGGCGGTAGGTATCAGACGAATGGGACATTTGATATATTTCGATCTACGCTGTGTAACAGGAAGGCCTGATGGCAGGCATTTCTGTCCATTGTGGACAGTGCAGTGGCTGAGCAACAGTCTGTGGTGATAGAAAAAAAAAATAAATAAAATTAAGTAACAAGAAGACCAACATTTCACTATCTCTAAAAATAGATGGATAATAAAAATCGTGAGGCAAACACAGTCATATTTTGACCAACCAATCAGGAACCTTCACAACAAGGATGTAAGAAAAGAAATAAACCAATAACAAGACCAAAATTTCCCCATTTCTAAGAATAGATAATTTGACCACCCAATGAGAAAGCATTCACAACCAGGATGTAAGCGAGCGGCCTTTTCAAGGCGGATCTATCGATGTGTATATAAAGACATGAAAAATCCGTCAAAATCAGAATTGATAAATTAATTTCGTCCATTCTCCGATGTTGCGGTCATCATAACATATTCAGAGACGAAATACAGCATTTGTACCACGAGCTGGCGATTTCACACAGCTAAACAGTTCATGCTACATTGAAAGCAAACATACCTTTCTTCACCACATGGTCCAGCGGCAACTAATGCACACACACACACACACACACACACACACACACACACACACACACACACACACACACACACACATATATATATATTTCCAATGTGAGGCCTTTTGAAGTCTTTTTTATGATTTCTTATGTGTTAAATACAATATAATTTCTAATGTTGTATTTTAAATTGAAAAAATATTATATTTGAAATTTGCTCACCTTGCCGCCAGAGAAGCGACGGGTACTAAACTAGTATCTATATAAGACAGACAAAGATATGGAAGTGTTTATTTTATCAGATGACAGATTATCATTACCAGAGTTCTTGTTCATAGCGGTTGTTATCTCTCCACAGTAACTGACTATCTAATAAGCTACGCTGCGAGGTGTGTTTATTTACTTGACCCAATGATATGGTGACATTTTCGCCTTACTCTCTTAACGATTTTCTCTTCTTAACAAGTTTATATACATATATACAATCTATCATTGCTGAACAGAATTTGAACTGTCTCTTTCTGCTACCCGAGAACCTTGCATTAAATCACTACTTTTGCTCAATTGCCAGTTAAAAATCAAATCAAATCAAATCGTCGAAGCGATTTCGGAATTATCTGTGAAAAATTTATCCAA